CAAATTCCATGTTAAAGGAAGTGGGTGTTCTACCCCTGGTTTCTACATTACCTTTTTCATTTGTCTTATATTTACCTCAGTTCTCTTGTAATCTTCTTTCAATTAGTCAAATAACTAATTTGTTAAACTGTTACATGACTTTTCCCCCAATTCTTGTGTATTTCAGGATTTGTTGACACAGAGGATTGTTGGTAGAGAACGAGTATCTAATGGGTTATATATGCTTGAAGAAGGACTTTCATAAGCATCAACAACTTCCAAAATTTGAAGCCTGTCACCTTTTCAGCTCCATTGTCGGCTTAGACATCCATCTTTAGGAGTACTTAAAAGATTGTATCCTTAATTAGAGTCAATATCGAGTATATATTGTGAGTCGTGTCAATTTACTAGGCATCATTGTAGTGTTTATTTACCTCGTTAAAATAAAAGGGCTCAAGCATTGTTTGACATTATTCATTCTGATGTTTGGGGTCCTTCTCTAGTAACCTCAAAGTTTGGTTATAAGTATTTTGTTACTTTTATTTATGGTTATTCCCGTGCAACTTGGTTATATCTAATGAAATCTATATCTGAGTTATTTACTATATTTTTTCATTTTTGTGCTGAAATTCGTACTTAGTTTAATCGTCATGTTCGCATTCTTCGAAGTGATAATGCCAGAGAATATTTTTCTACACAGTTTAATACTTTCATGAATTAACGTGGCATGATTCACCAATCAACTTGCATTGTCAATCCACAACAAAATGAAGTTGTTGAGCGCAAAAACAGGCACTTAATGGAAGTTGCCTGAGCTTTATTGTTTGAGTTGAAAGTTCCAAAGGTTTTTTGGGCAGATGGAGTACTTACTATTGTCCACTTAATTAATCGCATGCCATCATTTATTTTAAATGGTGTTATCCCATATTCCATCATTTTTCCTTCTCATTCTTTGTTTTCTTTTCTCCCTAAAATATCTTGTTGCACATGTTTTGTATTTGTTGTTCGTTCGCAAAACTAAGTTGGATCCAAAGTCATTAAAGTGTGTATTTTTGGGTTACTCTCGTACACAAAATGGGTATCGTTGTTTTTCCCTAGATCTTGGTCATTTTCTGGTTTTAATTTATGTATCATTCTTTGAAGATTGTCCTTTTTTTGTTGAGTCTCAATCGCCCTTGCTAGTAAGTGAATTAGATGATTCTTTCTTAACTTATACCATTACCCAATATATTCCTCCAACTCCTATTGCAACAGGTTTCAACTTTTTTGAGTACACATTTTTTCATCATCCTTAGGTTTAAAGAGAGGATATCTCATAAGATACTCAACCTCTACCCCCTCCAGTGCCTGCAGATTCTGCAAATGACTTTACAATTGTCTTACGCAAACGTAAACATATGAAGTTTACTATATTGATACTTTTTCCCTGTGGCTAAACTATTTTTTCCTATTATTATATATTTACTTCCAAGCACCATTGGCCTTTGTTTCAATAAGATGTGAAGAATTTCTTCTTACATGGTGATTTATAAGAGGAGGTGTATTAGGAGCAACCATCTAGTTTTGTTGCTCAGGAGGAGAATAGACAAGTGTGTCGTTTAAAGAAATCATTGTATGACTTGAAACAATCACATAGGTCTTGGTTTGGAAGCTTCAGTGAAGTGGTTTTAACATTTGGAATGAAACGATGTCAGAGTGATCATACAATATTTTTTAATAAAAACAATTGTGAAAATGTCTTACTTGTGGTGTATGTTGATGAGTTGTAATTACAGGAAGTGGTAGCAAAGGAATTGACAAATTGAAGATTTTCCTCCAAACCAAGTGTCAGACCAAATGTTTGGGAGTCTTGAAGTATTTCTTGGGCATTGGATTTATGTATTCAAAGAAGGGGGTTTTCTTTCACAAAGAAAATATGTTCTAGATCTATCGAGTGAAAAGGGTATGATGGAATCCAAACCATGTGAGACTCCCATATAGCTGGAGTTAAGCTGATATTGCTTTTCATGTAAATGTTGTAAGTCAATTTATGTCTTCCCCCACTGATACTCATTGGGAAGCATTAATCTGCATTGTTAAATATCTGAAGAAATCTCTAGGAAAGAGAGTTGTGTACCAAGATCATGGGCATGTGCATGTGGAGGCTTTTTTTATCCAGATTGAGCAAGATGTCCAGTGGATCGGAAGTCTACCACTGGATATTGTGTATTCTTTAAGGTAATTTGATATCTTGAAAAAGTTTTTAAAAAAAAACGAAATGTAGTAGCAAGATCAAGTGCAGAAGCAAAATATAGGGCTTTGGCTTAAATGACTTGTAAATTAATATGGATAAAACAAATATCTGATGAAATAGAGTTTGAGTATAATTATCCTATGAAATTTTGGTGTGATAACCAAACTGCCATACATATTACATCAAATTTGGTATCTCATGAAAGAATAAAACACATTGAGGAAGACTATCATTTTATTAGAAAGAATGTTCAAGAAAATATCATATCCACTTTTTATGTTAGGACAAGACATCAACTAGCAAACTTATTTACAAAGACATTGAATGAGATGTGTAGTGATTTTACTTGTAACAAACTAACATGATTACTCCAACTTAAGAGGGAGTATTGAGAATTCTATTTTAATATTATATTACTAGAATTTAGTATCTAAGTATATAAACTTGACTAGGGGTGAGCATGGATGGTTATTTTTAGAAATCAAACCATAACCATTTTAAAACCAGTTAAATGATTTAGATTCATAACCATAATCATATTTTAATCAAATTTGATTATGGTTATATAACCAGTTTTAAATTGGTTATTATTTTTTCTAAAAAGTTATTTTCTTTTTAAAAAAATTTATTCCAATAAAAAAATTAATTTTTTTTCCAAAAAATTAAATTGTTTTTTAAAAAAATTTATTTTTTTTGAAAAAAACTTATTTTTTATTTGAGATAATTAACACCCAAAATTGCTCATGATTCACCTAATTGCTTACAAATACCTCCACTGCATCCAAAACACCAATATAGTTGAAAAAAGCTAATAACTATTTTGGACTTCGGAAAGAACATAACCAACTTTAACAATTTAGTCTGAATTTCTTAAACATTAATAACTATTCTTGCATATTGCCATTGTTCACTCCCAAATTCCTAACCATACTCTATAATTCTGCTGCATATTATGACGCTTCAATATCATTTCTCATGTCAGGCTCAAAAACTATCTCTTGCAAAGGTTCCCTGCTCTAGCAAAAAATTTAATTAGATTTTTAAAAAATATTTTTTTTTCAAAAAGCTTAATTTTTTATTCACAAAAAATTTATTTATTTATTTGAAAAAATAATTTTTTATTAAAAAAAAAAACTTATAATTGAATTGAAACATTTAAATTTTGGATAGTAACAGGATCCAAAAATAAAATATGATTTGTTAAGAACCATTTAATTATATTCAGATATTTTTAATTGATTTAGATTTAGTAATGAGTTTGGATCTCATTACTGAATATTTTGCACACTCCTAAACTTGACCCATTTATCTTTCTTAAATACTACTCTTTAAACATATTAATATAAATATAATAATCACAACACATTTGTAATGCATCTTACACATTGTAGTTCATCTGAGTGATTATTCATATACACCTCTCTTTCTACATAAACAAAATAGAAAGGAAACTTGATTGTCATGTATGAGACTTTGTAGTTGAAGGAAAGACTATTTGAAATAATTGATACTTTTCATACTAACAAGATGCATTTTTTATAGAAGCTTATAATACAACAGCTTTGTAGTTAAATGTAGTTGACTTGAAACACTTTTGAAGTAAGACATTTTGGAAATTGCTCTCAGGAATGTCCTATCACTAATAATCAACACATTTTAGCCTATGCATATATAAACAGACTTCATAAAAGCAAGTTGAAATTGGTTGTTGGACGATGACAAATAAAAAATAAATCCAGATGAACAGTTTAATCTCAAATCAAATCCACTTGCAGTCCAGTGGATATTATCCCTCATCATTCATTGATAAATAACAAACATAAACATGACGGTTTCTCAAAATTAATGACAGTATACAGATATTATTAACAAATTACATGAAAATGTATCAAATGACAAATTTAGGTGGAGCACAGTTTATACAGGCTCAAATGGTTTCTCTGGTATGGTCCAGCCATAATTGCTACAGCATAAGAGTAAATAGAGTAACCTGAACCACCTATCTTTCCAAAATGATTGGCACTGCCTTATTTTGATTTTTGCTATCCACCAGTACAGTCACAACCCTACACATCGAATAATACAGTATAAATGCAAAGAAAGGCATCGAACAAGCAGATCTTCCCTAGGAAAGATGTCATTTTCAGCATAGTTTGTATTAAAGAATATCACAACATTTAGATGAATCAATCTGACCCAATATTTAAAATGCCAATATATTAAGAGAGAAAGACTATATATATGAACCTAGTCTTTTTCAGCCTACTAGGCTAATTCTGGTTATCGGCTTTTGAGTTTTGAGTTTTGACACATGACATAAACTAGACAATAATAACAAAGAGCCTAAAAAAATTATACACGCTGAACTCTAGCACAGCAGAAGATAGAAATCTGGCACATGGATTACGCTCCAGATGTCCAATCCAAGACATAAGGGATGGTGTTGAAAGTCCTGCATTGGATGTGATGCGGCTTTAAAAAATGTTTATAAGTGGGAAACATATTTCACCTTATCAACCAGTTTTTTATGATTGTTAGACTAACCCAAATTCTAAGATAAATATTCAACATCTATCACTTCATAGTTCATAGGAATAACATACTACCATAGTAACAAGTTCTCACATTTAAGTTTTCCAAAGGCATATCTCATACCTATCTAAACAGCTAAATATGTGTTGAATCCTTCAATTTAATTTGAATATAATACTTCATTTATATACATGATGCCTTTATTTTATCAACAATTTATGCAAATGAGATTAAAAGCAAAAATGAGGATAAATACCTAACCGGTGGCCTGCAGCAACTCCCTCTCTGCATTCTCTTTAATCCTTCTCTCAAGCTCAGGCCTGAAATGCCTGATGAGTCCCTGCACTGGCCATGCGGCAGCGTCACCCAAGGCACAGATTGTGTGCCCTTCAATTTGCTTAGTCACCTCCTGAAGCATATCAATTTCTTCCAGCCTAGCATTCCCAACTTTCATTCTTTCCATGATCATCCAAAGCCATCCTGTTCCCTCCCTGCATGGTGTGCATTGCCCACAGCTTTCATGCTTGTAGAAGTACGAGAGCCTTGCAATGGCATCCACAACATCAGTAGACTTATCCATCACAATCACAGCTGCAGTCCCCAAACCTGTCTGGACGGCCTTCAACGCATCATAATCCATCATAACATCATCACATACATTTTTTGGGATCAGTGGAACAGATGACCCTCCAGGAATCACAGCAAGTAAATTGTCCCATCCTCCTCTAACACCTCCACAGTGCCTTTCAATCAACTCCTTCAGTGGTATACTCATTTCTTCCTCAACCGTGCAAGGCTTGTTCACATGTCCTGACACACAAAACAACTTTGTCCCAGAGTTGTTCTTCCTACCAAAACTGGAAAACCATTCTGGCCCACGCCTTAAAATGGTTGGAGAGACGGCTACGGTTTCAACATTTGTAACAGTGGTGGGACAACCATACAACCCTGCATTGGCTGGGAAAGGAGGCTTCAATCTTGGTTTACCTTGCTTCCCTTCAAGGCTCTCCAAGAGGGCAGTTTCCTCACCGCAAATATAAGCTCCAGCACCATAGTGAATATGAACCTCGAAATCATAGCCTGAGCCACAAGCATTCTTACCCAATAGACCAGCTGCATAAGCCTCTTTCCTAGCCTTTTCAAGATTTAAACGTTCGTTTACATATTCACCCCTGATGTAGATGTAAGCAGCACTAGCCCTCATTCCCACTCCAGCAATTAAGCAACCTTCTAGCAATTTATGTGGGTCATGACGCATAATTTCCCTGTCTTTGCAAGTACCGGGCTCACTTTCATCTGCATTAACAACAAGGTAAGAAGGGCGGCCATCAGATACTTTTGGCATAAACGACCATTTGAGGCCAGAAGGAAAACCAGCACCACCGCGTCCACGGAGACCAGACTTCTTCATTTCATTAACAATCCAATCAGTACCCTTAGTCACCAAATCTTTAGTACGATGCCAATCACCTCTTTTCATGGCACCTTTCAGGAAAGGATCATGTATCCCATACAAGTTGGTAAAAATCCTGTCCTCATCCTTAAGGCCACCGAAATGGGTTTTCTCTGGAGGTGGAGGTGGTGGTGGAGGCTGTGGTGTACTTGCAGTTGATGCACCCTGAGTGCTAAATAATCTATAACCAATACCCAACTTCTCACTACGTTGTTGAGCCAACACTGCTCTCTTTAAAGAAAGAATGCCTCTCATGGTTATCCTACCTGACAATAATTTCAAAGTTTCCAAACAAAGCATTTTGGGTTAATGTGCAAACCATATAGTCCAAAGCAAAAGATAGTCAAATAAAAACATGCTAATGAAATTGGCTAATAACTTTGGGACTAACCAATAAAATCACAGCACATGAGTCAAAAAAACAAGCTTTCAAATTACCAATTAACCATTATAAGAATTCACCCCCAATTCCAAATTTGGAAAAATACAATCAAAATACTTAACATTCTGATTCATACCATGCTATATTAAACATAAAATTCTCATAAAACATTAACCTCCAACCTAGGTAGTTAATCGCCGCCAATTGTGTAGCAATTGCGGCTGCAACAGTGATGACAGGTTCCGCATGCAAATATATGCATCTAACTAATATATAGTTAATACTTCTGCCAAATCAACCTACATACAACCCGAACCCCCAACCCAATCAGATTTAAACAAAACAACATCAAAAACCAATTTTACAACTATCAAGATTTGAACACAATAACTTATGCATTAAATTTGCAATCTAACATAAATTTGGGGAAAATGATCGAAACCCTAAAAAGAACAAAAAGCGATAAGAGCACTGTGTATATGCAAATCCAAATCCAGGAAGAAATCAACTACGGTTCGTATTGAAATGCGCGTGAATTACAACCCTTAGTGTGTTCATACCAAAAATCAAATGAAAACGAAAAACATAGATTTGAGCCTGAAAGTAAATTAAGATAAGGGTATATTGATTTAGAATAAGGTGAACATAAGAAGGAGAGAAAAGGAAATTGCAGAAGACATGACATACCGGAAAACGTAATAGATCGGAGCAGCGTGGTGTTGTTGTTGTTTTTGTTCTAGTTTCGTACTTTTCGATATACTTATAATTGTTGGTTTATTAGAGTTACATAAAATAGAGGTTAGGTTATTTGAACTTTGGGCTTTTGTTTATCCACGTTGCACTTTAGAAAAACAGATTGTCGAGACTTTAATGCAGAAAAAGACATATACTGGTACAATTTTTTATTAAAATATATTTTTTAATCCCATTAAATCAGCTTAAATAGTTACGGAGTAACATTAACTATAAAAACACGTAAACAAAAATTCTGATTTAGAAAAGAATTATATCAATAAAACTAAATTTATAAAAAATAAAAATATTAATGATAAAAAGTTTAGTGGAAATAAATATTTAAGTTTTTTGTTTTACTTATTTTACATGTTAAATAGTGTCATATCATAACTTATGTTGATTAATGAAATAAAAATTTAAATTATTATAAAAGATTTGTTTGTTTTGATTTTTTTAAATGATTTTTATAATGTAACAGAATTTTGTGAAAAAAAATTATAAAAAATTTTACATAAAAATTTTAAATAAAATTTTAGTTTGAATAATTATTCTTAAAATATTATTTTAAATATTTTATTATTTTACTAAAATTTTTTTTGGATATCAAAATTTTAAAATATTTACTTCTATTTCAAATAGATCTTTATACAAAAAAATATTTTTAAGATACAACTTTTAAAAAAAAAAAGTGATTTCAACTATTTTTGATCTTCAATAATGTATATTTATAATATAAAATATTATAATTAATCTTTTAATTTATAAAAATTAAATATAAATACTTATGATGTTTTAAAAAACAATTTTTAAAAATTTATTTTTTAAAAATACAAAAAAAAAAAATTAAGCCGAAACAAAAAGGCATATCGGTTTCTTTTTAATTGATATTTTGAAGTTGTATTGTAGATGTTAATAGAATTAATATATTTTTTGCACCAAAGAAAAAAAAATATTTTGTTATCTATAATAAATAGTTAGCATAATTTTGACAAAACACTAAATACTACTATTATTTTAAACTTTGAAAAAAAATTAATTAACTAATTACTTTTCAAAAAAATCTACACTTAAAAAATAATAGAATAAAAAAACAAATTGTAATTACATAAAATTCAAATGGTAACTATGCCAATTTTTTCAATTAAAACTATATAATTCTTTAACATTATATAAAATTAAAGTTAACCAATAAAACACTAGATATTTATTTCAACTTACCTGAAGTTTTTAGTTGAATAACTCATGGACGATCGTGAGAAATGTCCAGGGAATTGTTTTTTTCATCTTTACTCATGTATATTACGTTTTTTAAAATTTGTTTTTTCCTTTATTTGTTCGGAGACATATCTTCAGACGCATCTAAAATCATGTCTATTCTTAATTTTTTGAATTTCACTCAAGTTTAAAGAAATTATGGTCTGGATATACACCTTCATATATTGTTTGAGTGTATCCGAAGATACATCTCTGAACAACCCTCTTAACCATTTTAGAACATCACGAATATCACAACATCATAATGTTTTTAGGAAATTTATATCAAAGTAAAAACAAAGTAAAATAAACGTAAAATGAAGATACTAAACTTATATGAAAGCAAAAAGTCAAGATCATATAAGTTTGAAAATACTAAAAAATCATACATCCAAACATAAACTAACTACTATGTATGTCTAATCATTTGCCTCCTCCTCCGCATGTACTACACAGAACGTTGTAACTCGACAATCATCCGCTCCACGAGGGACAATTAGGGATTCTCATCCTAAAAGAGTCATGACTTTATGGTTGCTTTACCCATTTCCACAATACACCAATAGAGAGTTGTCACGCTCTCTACCTGCTCATCCTAAACCCTAGGTATCTCATGGTTAGCTAGCCTAGGTGGTCCTCCATGAGCGTCTGGCATCATAATAAGGTATTGCACCCTATAAAATCATGTAATGTAGCCCTTAGCGATAGCCCTTTGTACAAGAGTTGACTCCCTATGAAACTTTTATAGTACCAAGTGACTCTTGAAATCATTCAGTATCACTAATAGATCTCTGTGGCGGACGTCGGGAGGAGCAGACACATAGGGAGGTCTCAAAATAATTTACAAGTAGCGAAACTAGTGCATCACTCGCTCGGGCATATAGGGATACATAAGAGATTATCCACATGTCAATCATCTGGGTCATAAGGAAATGACATTAAAGTGACGTGTTTGGCGGTGACCCTCATATGGGCAGAAGCAAACGTCATATGGTACCATATGGTCAAGAGAGACTATGAATTGATCAACCACATCAATCCTCCTATAAAGAATAAAAGTGTCGACACACTGTTAGTCTTCATTGTAGGCAGACGCAGCTTTCCACCTGGTGATACGAGGGAAATAAGAGATGATATATCCCTGAAAATGGTTCGAATACAACATTAATAACATGTGTAACAAATGAATTACAAAAGTATTAGTAACAATAAATTACCGTAAGAAGCATGCAGTTCTATGTCATATGTTTTGTCTTTCAAAGACAAACCTCTCCCAACTCTGAGTACATGTAGATCAAACAGGTGTCCCCCTGTTTGTACTCGTGAATCACAGTCAAGTCGGCGAAGTACTTAAGATAAACCACATTGACATAAGTTGCACTTTTATCTACAAACATGGATGTGTCAACCAACTAAGAATAATGGGTAACACCTCAATGCGCAATGTCGGTGGTACTCAACCTGCATGTCATCGCCTATGGCATCCCACCCCCCTACAAATGGCCTTTATAAAGCTTTTCCAAAAAAAACTAAATCTCACATGAGCACCTCTAGTGTCATGTGCCTCCTATGCGGCCTTAGTTGTGTCATCCCCCAAATGGTACACCATCATGCTGACCCCTTCCCCTAGCTTGATCCTTCCATGGTCCAGTAATCTCCCCTTAATGGAAATATGCAGGAAGCATGAGACGTCATCAAAGGTAATGTTCATCTCGCTTATAGGTAGGTGGAAATATGATGTCTCTGAATGCCACCTCAAAATCCGACAACATGATGTGGTTTATAGTCATGTAAGCCGAAGAACAAAAACTGGCAAGCCCGAAATAGCGGATAACATCAATGAAACAAGCAATAGTGGGTTGTGGCAGCTCAAAAATATTCCTGTCATGGTTAAGAAATTCGAAACAACCACGCTCATGTAAAAAGGAAATATAACCATCAATATGGATTTAATTAGTCGACAACATATATATTACAAAAGAAAAGAAATATACCTCTCCATGCTAGATATGTCTAGCAGCATGGACTACATAAAGATGTAGTAATGAGGTGTCAAATGGGCCTATTGGGTAACTCTCAGATGGGGCATCAGGATCAACAATAGTTTCCTCATGGTCTTCAAATCCTTCAAGGACAACAGGGGCTTTAGGACCTTCAAATTTTGTTGCCTGTGAGGCTTGAGAGAGTCGGCTACGAGAACCAGACGCGTGGGAACCTCGGGGATGCAAAGTAGATGCACCATCAAACGATTTATCAGCAAACAACTCGTGGCCTCATAATCCTCTTTGAAGAATGAGGAAGAGGGAAGGTCTGACGCGGGATATGAAACATTACCGTCTAGAGATGCATCTCTGAACCACCCACAAACTTTTGAATAAATAGTGTTTATGAAAATGCATTTTTGGACTCACTTTTTATATATACAGAGATGCATATCCAAATTAATTTTTGGCACAATAAGGATGTTTATAGATATGCATCTTCGAACGCTATGGGCATTCTAAACTTTTCATGATGGTAGGGTAGAACTCCTAAGGGTAAAAAATGCAATTTCAAATGTTTATGGCACATGAAAATCTATTGATCCAACTCAACTAAAGGAATTTGTTTAAATTTTTGTTGTTTTGATTCAATATGAATCTATCGGATTTAATATAGTGAATTGATTTAAATAACAAACTTGTGATATAGAGCTAGCGAGTAAATTTTCTTACACTTTAATGTTTTTGGATTAGTGTAAACTGGTTTGGTAAATTATTTTTTAATTTTTAAAATTTAAATTTATTTTTTTATAATTTAATTTTACAAAATTATTATTTTTTAAATTATTTTTTATTTAAAAAATTTATTAATTAAAAAACTAAAATAGATTTTAGAAACTGGT